CCAAGCTGGGACAGGAGCCCGGTCCCCACTGCCTGGCTGGGGCTGCGCGTTACCGCTGACACAGGCAGAAGAGTTGCCTGGGTGTGAGTCACCTGTGCCGCAGCACCCGGCCACTCCGGAGCACCTCTGCAATGAGTTCTGCCTGGTCTCAGACCAGACAAGAAGCAGCTACCCTGGGAGGGGGGCGCTGAGCTGGGTGCTGGGGACATGGAGGTGCTGATGCCAGCCCTGGCTCTTCCCTCAGTGGCTGTGGACACGACGCTGTGCGTGGAGTGGAAAGAGGTGAAAGCGCTGTCTCCGCTGAGTGCCACTCGCCCGCTGCCCCGCCTGGTGCACCAGGCCTCCTTCGACAGCCAGGACTTCCTCCAGGTACCCTGGTACCTCACAGCAGGACACCCTTCCTGAGGTTTTGGGGTGCAAGGGGCCCTGCTGCCCCCCAGTCTCCTGGCCACTTGGACCCGACAGCTCGCAGCGGCTTGGGGCTGCTCTGACGTCAGCCACGAGCCAGGCTGTATCCTGGGAGAAATCAGTCCACGGTGCCTCGTTGCCATGGCAATGCAATTTGTTGCGCGCCTCCAAATCCTGCATTGCTTCCCCCGTGGCCATGGGCTCAGGGCCTGGCATGGCTGGGACGGGCAACAGGGACAAGCAGCAGGATTGGGATGCTCTGGCGTGGCAGTGGCCTTGCATGAGCACGCGTGTATGTGTGTGCACAAGCCGGGGAGGACACTCAGTGGCCCCAGCTAGCATGGACCATGCACATGTGTGTGTGTGCACGCAGGTGCGGGTTATGTGTGTGTGTGTGCACAGTGAGCACGTGTGCGTGCAGTGAGTTCATGTGTGCGCATGGTGAGGAGGGCCCTGTGTGTGTGTGTGTTTGCATGTGTACGAGCGCCTGTGTGTGTACATGTGGTTACATGAGCAGGCATGTCTGTGTGTGCACGTATAAGGGTGCAGTGTGAGCAGCAGTGTACGGGTGTGCTACCATGACAGCATGCGCACAGACACAGGTGTGTGTGTGTAACTGCTGCCCTGCCTGTAATGGCTGTGGCCAACCCTCTGCACACAGGCACACGTGAGTCTGCAGCGCACGTGAGTCTGCAGCACACGTGTGTGCACAGACAACCCAGCTGCAGGGGGTGGGCACCAAGCGGGGCTGAGCCCCTTCCCAGGGCACAGGGTTTGGTGGCGGTGGTGGTGGCAGGCAGTGGGCAGGCGGGGTGGCTGGGGATCGTGACATCCTTGTCTGCCCTGGCAGGTCAATGTTGAGGACACTGTCGAGATGTTGCCCAAGTCACGGCGCGCGCTGACCATCCAGGAGATTGCTGCCCTGGCCCGCTCCTCTCTGCATGGTAACTGCTCGCCTGGCCCAGGGTGTGGGGTGCCCGAGGGTTCACCCAGGGAAAGGGGGTCTCCTATGGGAGAAGGGTCTGTGCCTCTTGGGAAGGGCATTGGGGTCACCCCTCTGGAATTTGGGGGCTCAAGGTGTCCCTTGGTCCCTGGTGGTACCCAAGAGGAGGGCACGGGGCTGCCAGGTCTGAAGGGCAGTAGATGGGGGTGCTGGTTCATGGACTCATGGAGGGCACTTGGAGTGCTCAGGGAGTGCTGATGTGGGGGCACATCTCGCAGGCATCTCGCAGGTGGTGAAGGAGCATGTGACGAAGCCGACGGCCATGGCACAGGGCCGCGTCGCCCACCTCATCGAGTGGAAGGGCTGGTGCAAGCCAGTGGAACCACCCACTGCCCTGGAGAGCGCCTTCAACTCCTACTGCCACCTGAGCGAGGGCGAGCAGGAGGCGCGCTTCGCTGCTGGTGGGCACCATGTGCAGCATGGCTGGCAGGCACACTCCCCCACCGTGGCCAAGGGCAGGGCTGGTGGGTGGGTGGTCCCCATCCATCCCTCCATCCCTCCCTCCATCCATCCCTCCATCCCTTCATCCATCCCTCCATCCATCCCTCTATCCATTCCTCCATCCCTCCATTGGACCCTCCATCCATCCCTCCATCCCTTCATCCATCCCTTCATCCATCCCTCCATCCATCCCTCCATCCATCCCTCTATCCATTCCTCCATCCGACCCTCCATCCACCCCTCCATCCCTTCATCCATCCATCCATCCCTCCATCCATCCCTCCATCCATTCCTCCATCCGACCCTCCATCCACCCCTCCATCCCTTCATCCATCCCCCATCCATTCCTCCATCCCTCCATCCGTCTCTCCATCCATTCCTCCATCCATCCCTCCATCCATCCATCAGTGCACTGTGGGCACAGAGACGCTGGGGCAGGGGTATTTTGGGGCACCTCCTGGTGTGTGTGTGACCTGTGCTTGTCCCATGCCAGGTGTGGCGGAGCAGTTCGCCATCGCTGAGGCCAAGCTGCGTGCCTGGTCCTCAGTGGATGGGGACGACTCCAATGACGAGTCTTACGATGAGGACTTCATGCCCCCCACAGAGAGCTCCCAGCCCACTGGTAAGTGCCATGGGAGTGGGTACCCACTGGGTGGGCAAGGTGTCCTGCTGCTGGTGTTGGTGTCCTGCTGCTGGCGTTGGTGTCCCGCTGCTGGTGCCAGGGGTTGAAAGAGTGGGATGCCCATGCCCGGCCACATTCCCCAGCCCGGCCCCCCCATTTTGCAGCCATGCCCCTGCACTGAACCATGGCGAATGGCTCTCATGCCAGGGATGCGAAGCCCTGCACTGTCCCCAGTGCCAGAGCACACTTTGCTTTTCCTGTGGTGGTCACCAGCGCCACACACACAACAATCTGTGGGCAGAGGAGGCACAGTGCATGGCAGGGTGCTCCCACCCCCTGGGGCACAGGATGGGGGGGCAGCTGGCACCCCCAAGTGCATCAACCCTGACTGACCCCGGGCATCTCGGCTCCCTGCAGAGCTGCCCAGCTCGGTGCCAGCCAGCGCGCTGCTGCGAGACCTGCTGCAGGGCCACCTGTGCCAGCTGGGCGTGCGGCACGGCTCCTGCGAGCCCGAGAGCGACTCCTCGCACACGCTGTCCCCCGAGACTCTCTGCTCCAGCCTCTGCAGCCTGGAGATGGTGTCCCCCTCTGAACTCACTGCCAAACTGCTGGGCTCCCTGGGTGGCGAGGACCTGCTGCTGCCCAAGCTGCCCCCCCCGGCCAGCCAAAGTGCCTTGCGGGGCCTGGCACGGCTCCGGTGCCAGGACTCCTTCTACTCCGTGTCCTACGCCGAAGCCTGCCTCTCACCCGCTGAAGACGAGGTGGTGCTGAGCAAGGACTTCCCGCTCCGACGGAAAGTCTCCGACGTCGCATCCTCCGGGGTGGCATCGCTGGAGGAGGAGGCCGAAGAGCCCTGATCCCCCCCTGGGGTGCCCTGCCTCTCCCGGCAGGGGTCCACCCTTCTGTCGGACCCCGTGCTGGGCAAGGGACAGCCCTGCTGCTGTGCCCCCTCACTATCTGGGCACAGGGGGGTTTTGGGGGGCTGCTGCAGGCCCCTCGGCCATTGTGCCCCCGCCCCGCTTGGCCGTATCGTTGTCCTCCTGGATTTTTGCATGAGAGTGGGGAAGGGGCACAGGGAAGGGCTCGGTGGGGTCTGACCCCCACCCTGATGCCCAGATGTGCCCCCTAAAACTGACAGGACTGAAACAGTGGGGTTGGTTGTTCGCATGTTCCCCCCCCAGACCACCCCTGGCTCCCCTTTTGAGCACAGGTTCCCCACTGGCGTGGCTGAACCTCTCTGAGCATCCCGTGGTGCCCCTGCCCCATGCCCACACCCTCGGCTTGGGGCGGTGGGGGGAATGTGGGGAGTGGGGGAATTCCTTCTCTCTCCCTAGCCAGCTTTTATCGGACAGTTTTAAACTGTGAACTGCTGCCTCGGGGCCGGGGGAGGGCTGGGGGCTCCAGGAGCTGCGGATGTGCCGTGGTGCCGGGGTTTCTATACTTTTGTATGTGTGTGGGGCTGGCACGGGAAGACTGTGGGGCCGAGTGGGGGCATGGGCCCCAGGCTGGGGCCTTTGGCCATCTGTGGCAGCACCCTCAAGCCAGTCCCGCGGCAGGGGGCTCAGCCCAGCCAGGGCCCCCCAAGTCTGCTGAGGGGCAATGTGGGGTGGAGGCGGGAAGGGGCAGTGTGACCAACATCCCTGACCCCGAGTCACTCACCCCTAGCAGGGAACCAAGTGCCTACATGAAGGGCGACCACTCCCCCTGTCCTGATCAGGGTGACACCCTGGCTTGGGGGCCCCCCAGGGTTGTGCCGGGGGTCCGAGCACACTGTTTGGGGGAGGAATGCTAGTTTTTGCCAACGCTTGTGCCCCCCTTCCTGCATGGCATGTGTTCTTGTAGGGCCGCTTGCCCACTGCATGCTGCTCCTTGCCCATGGCCACAGCACCCCTGGCCCTGCACCCTCAGGTGCCCCAGCACCCACTCCAGCTCTGCTCCTGTGTGCCCCCAGGATCCCCATCAACCCCTGCCAGGCACAGCACCCGTTCCCCCTCCCTACCGTAGGGTGCCCGGCATGGGTCTGGCTCCCCTCTCCCTGCATGGCCAAGCTGTGAGGGGGTGCAGGGGCCAGCAGGCCTGATGCCATGCTGATGGGTTCCCTGCCATCACCCTCTTTCTGCGGACAGCGGATGCTCCCCGCGGCGCTGGGATGGGCTGCGGGGTATGGGGTGCCTGCGGGTGGGTGCGGGGCCTTGCTCTGTGTGTGTGTGCATGTGTGTGTTTACATGTGCACATCTGGAGTGTACATGCACAAGCACATGTGTTCATACTCACAGCAACCTGAGCACCCACCCCGCTGCGGCGGTACCCGAGGGGTGCCCACCCCGGCACCCTCTCCTCCATCCCACCACGTCTCCAATAAAGTCCATTGTGAGAGCGCTGTGCCAGGTGCCTCTTCTTGTGGGTGGGGGCACATCCTCCCGGGCTGCCCCGGCTGGCCCTGGTGGCAGCCACACATCTCCTCCTTGGCCCCACAGGGTGATGACGGGGCCTCAGCCTTTATCTCGCATTCCTGGGGCCAGGGTGCCTAATTATGGGCATGTGTCAGTGTCAGTGGAGGCAGGCGGGCGGCCCCCTCCCCGCGGCCAGGCCCTTGGTGGGCACAGGCAGCAGGCGCCATGGCCTCGCTCGGCTCAGCCTCCTCTTACCGCACCGAGCGCATTGGCACCTATGGTCCGGGGCATGGCGAGCCCCGCTTCGAGAGCGACCGGCAGCATGGGCCCTTCGGGGCACTGGCACATGAGGCCTTTGGGTTCCCAGGTACTGGGGATGGGGGGCGGCAGGGAGTCCCTGGTATCCCGGGGAGGGCTTACGACAGTTACCCACTGCCATGTGCTGGGCACACATGGGACCCCTTCCCCAGCACAGACCGGGGGGACTGCCCCTCAGGTGCCCCATGGCTCTCTGGACTGTCCTCCAGCCCTCCCAACCCCCCCAAGCCCACGGTACCCTGTGTCCTTGTTGTGCCCTGACCCACTGTGCCTCCAGCTTCCCCTACCCAGACCTCTCAGTGTCCCCTGGTAACTCCCCACTTTCCTGTACACCCCCAGATTAAACTCAGTGCCCCCCAATCCACTCTCCCTAGGCTGTCCCCTGTGTCCCCAGTCTCCTTCACTGCACCCCTGCTGTCCCCAGGTCCTTCAGTGCCCCCAGACCCCTCGGGTTCCCCCACAAACCCCATGGCCTCCTGCTAATGCTGGACCACCCTATACCTTCATACGCATAGGAGGCCCTGCTCCCCCTGCAGCCCCCCAGCATCTCCGGTGTTCCCAGACCCACAGTGCCACCTGCCACCCCCAGCCTCTCCCCAGGTGGCACCCGCTTCCCACAGCCCCCAGTGCCCCAGCCCTTAGGCCCCTTGCCCCCATGCCTGGCAGCCCCCTACTGCCCACAGGGTCCCCGGGTGCCGTGTGCCCCTGCAGCCTGGGCACCTGGGTGCGTGCCCAGGGTGACACCTACCAGGTGGTGGCTGATGTCAGCCAGTTCGAGCCCCCTGACATCGTGGTGACGACCTCCAACTGCCACGTCGCCATCCAGGCCGAGAAGGTGAGGCACGCCAGGGCGGCAGCATTCCCACCCCCTGGCCACGGAGTGATGGGGATCCTGCACCATGGCACCCACTCCTGCAGGGGTGGTAACTGTGAATGGCCCCTGCTGGTATGGGGGTAACTGGGAACTCCGGCCCTGTTGCAGTCTCTGTTGGTGGGGGCAACTGGGACGAGCCCCTGCTGACACTGGGGTAAATGGAAATTAACCCACCCCCACAAGGCTGAGGCAAGTGAGACCTGGTCCTTCCTGGCAATGGAGTAACTGGGAATTGTCCTTGAGTCACCAGTAACTCTGCCCTGTTGAGCTCCCTGCTGGAGCCGGGGTGACCGGGACCTGCCACGTTGCCAGCACTGGGGTAACTGGGAATGTGCCGTGTACCACCATGCTGTGCCCCAGGCACCAGTGCTGCCCTCCCGCAGGTGGCTGAGGATGGCACCGTCTGCGACACCTTCACCCACAAGTGCCAGCTGCCTGAGGACATGGACCCGCTGTCGGTGAGCTGTGCCCTCACCGAGGCCGGCACGCTGGTGATCACTGCGCAGCGCCGTGCCGTAGCCCGCCCCAGTGAGCCCCCACAGATGCTGTACCGCAGTGAGGCCACGCTGTGAGCAGCGCTGGGGGAGGATCGGTTTCTTGCTCCAAGTGATGCCAGCCTCGACACCACGGTGTAGCTTTGGTTGTACCCATTGGCCGTGCCCCCTCCCCACCTCCAGCTCCTCAGCGCTCTGGCTCTGTTTATAAAGACCTTTTATTAAATTAATATAAAAATCTCTGTATTTACATGGGGAGGATGCACAGCAGAGAGGAGGCAGGTTCCCCACTTCTCAGCCATGAAGTGCTGAGGAGAGAGGCAGTGTCCACCTGTGTCCCTGTGGGCGCCCTGGCCTGCTGCCCCTCTGCCCCCTGTGCTACCCTGAGCAGGGACAGCGTGGTGCCTGTGGTGGGGGGTGAGTGCAGCGGCTGTGCCGGGGGGCACCAGGGGCTGGAGGGGCAGAGGTAGTGAAGTGGAAAGCCCCAAGAGCTGGCAGGGGGTGGGGGGCAGAGGCAGGCTGGAGGGCACCCAGCCAGCCCCTGGCACAGGGAGGGGGCAGTGGTTCTGGATTGAGGGTGCCACCCCTATGATGAGCTTGGCACAAGCAGGCACAGAGCAGGTGCCAGGGGCCCTGGGGACGGGGGGGGGGGCACCCCCATCTCACTGTCCCTTGGGGCTGTCGTCGTCATCATCACCCCCGGGACTGGCCTCGCGGGGCATGGGGTGGTGCTGGTGGCGGTCCCAGAGCTGGTGCAGGGCAGTGGTGTCGGGCTCGCCGGCACTGGCGGTGCTGTCACGGAAGCTGGCGAGTGGTGGGCGCACCTTCACCCCCTTGGCTGTCAGCGAGCCCTCGATGGCCTTGCGCAGCTGCGAGCACCCCAAACACATGGGCAGGTGGCCCTGGGTGACCCCTTGTGCCCCTCCAGCCCCACACCAGTCCCTGCTCACCTCCTTGAGGGACACCATGCCCACCAGGCGCCCGATGCTGGTGACATACGCATGGTCCAGGCCCAGCAGTGAGAAGATGGTGTGGGTCTGCAGGAAAAAGGGTCTGAGTTGGGGATCTGGAAGGTTAGGGAGAAGGTCCAGGGAGGCACAGGCACACCTTGTGCAGTGAGGTGTGCTCCACCAGCTGGAATGGTGCAGGGTCGATCTTGGCGCTGCTGAAGTCCACCAGCTGGTCCAGCTGCTGCTCTTCCCACTCCAGGATCTGGGGAGGGATGCCATGGGGCAGGGTGAGGGGACTTGGCCGCACAGGATGCCAGTGAGGACCCTCCCCTGCACTCAGCATTATGGGGATACTGGTGCTGCCCACGTCCCTGCCCACCTTTTGCCTCAGCACCCCATTGGTCCCCTGCGGGCAGGAGGGTCCTGCCTGCCCCTGCCCACCCACTCACCTCTGCCGGGGTCATCCTGTCACCCAGATCCATCTCCTCCTGCAGAAGAGGCGAGCGTGAGCAGCCCGGCAGGGCAGCAGGCAGCATGACCGCACACCAGCCACAGGCAGGGAGCAAGCAGGGTACAGGCAGGAGCAATGGGGCTGCGGCAGCATGGGCAGGGTGCAGGCAGCACGTGCAGGTCAGGTAACACGATTGGTTGAGAGAACATAGGTCACGCCATGAATGGCTAAGGTGGGACAAGCCAGCTTGTGACTTATGGGGAGAACGCAGGTTGTGCCGTGATTGGCTGAGTGAAGTGGGGCAAATCAGAGAGCAGCGACTGCCGAGAGCCTTCAAGGCACGCTATGATTTGCCAGGAAGTTTGGGGACTGGGAGGATGCACACTGTGATTGGTTGAGAAGAATCAGGGTGGACTGATTGGCTGCGCACACAGAGGCAGAACATGATTGGCCAAACAGAATTTTGCCAGGCCCCTGATTGGTTCTGAAAATCCGTGCTGGGCTTTGATTAGAGGAACCACGCCCAGCCTGCTATTGGCTGCAGCTTACCACGATGGAAATGCGGACATGTTTGGCCTTGCGATAGGCTGTGCCCTGGGCCTGGCACCACGTGGGGAGAGACAGGAGTGTTAGGGCATGGCAGGGTCGTGGCAGGGCAGGGATGGAACAACAGCAGCTCTACGTGCCGTGGGCAGGAAGGGGCAAGGACAGGCAGGGATGGGAACTGTTGGGCAGGGATTGAGAACGGGTGTGAAGGGACGCAAAGGAACTGGAATGGTCGGAAAGGATGGCAGTGGGTAGAAAAGGCCAGGCTGGGCTGGGCAGGGCCATGCACTCACCTCAATGGGCTCTGCGGTGGGGTTGGCGCAGAAGAGGCTCTTGAGGGCGATGCCGGAGTGGTCGGTGGTGCCAGCTGTGGGTGGGGAGGGGTGTCAGTGGGGGTCACAGCAGGTCTGGGGGGGGGCTGTGCTGACCCACCTGGGGGGCTCTCGGCTGGGCCGCTGGGCACCCTCTTCAAAGCTGGCTTCAGGGGCTTGCGGGGGGTGGCGCGGGCAGGGGTGCCTGACGAGGCCTCCGTGCTGATCTGCGGGGGAACAGGTGGTGGGGCACAGTGGTGGGGGCACCCTGGCCAGGCAGCCCCCATGATGCCCGCCCCCCTCACCTGGAAGCGGATGCTGGCATCGGAGAGCCGGTGCCCGTTCTCGGCCAGCGCCTTCTGCTGCAGGGCCTGGAGCCGGCGCTGGGGGCTGAGCTGGTGGCTGAGCAGGGCCCCCACCTGCGTCCGCTCAATGGAGCCCAGCAGGATCATGGACTCTGATGGAGGCAATGGGGGGCCACGCTGGCTCCTGATCCCCTCTTTGCCATCCCCGCACACATCCCGGCACATCCCACAGCTGGAGCAGGCGCCAGCAGAGCCCCCTGCCCCCATCTCACCGGCTGACTCCACCAGCGGCAGGCTCTTCAACTTGGTGCTGTGCAGAACGTGCTGCAGGTCTCGGTACTTGCAGTTGAGGGTGACGTAGCGAATGTCCCGCACCATGATGTCCTCCACCCGCACATTGTATTTCCTGCCCCAGGAAGGTAATGGTGGCCTCGCTGTGATGCCACCCCTTACCCTTGTGCCTGGTGAGGGGCTTGGGTACAGAGCAGGAGACACACACTCACTCGTGGTGGCCCCAGCCCAGCTCAGGGAGGTAGGGCAGCTTCTTGATGCGGATGATGCTGTCGTAGAGGGAGGGCTGGAGGCTCTGGGCCACAGCGTTGGCCAGGATGACGGCGATCATGACAGGCAGGATGTGAGAGATCTGCCCCGTCAGCTCAAAGACGATGACAGCCGTGGACACCGTGTGGGTGACGGCGCCCGACAGTGCAGCTGCCCCTGCATCCATCCCCAGAGACAGAGGGGCAACTGTGAGGTGCTGCCTGCCAGGCTGGGTCCCCACCCCGTGGCCATCCACCAGTCCAGAGCCCTTGGGACCTCCTGGGGACATCCCCATGGTGGTGCCACTCCCAGCCCGTGGGGATAGCTCCTCAGCCCTGGGGAACCCACCAGCTCCTTTGGAGGTTGCCCAAGGGATGCCCACCATGGTGCCCCTGTGCCAGCCCAGTGCTTACCCACCACGGCGTAGCCCCCCGGGACAATGCGGTAGGTGTTGCTGTCAGCGTGGATGCCGTCGGGGAACCAGGCTGCCATGCTCTCCCCCACCAGGCGTCCAAAGGCTGCTCCTGCCCGCAGAAAGAAGCTGGGAGCAGGCACAGGACTCTCCCAGCACCCGACCCAGCCTCATGCCCTCTCCTCTACCCCAGAGCTGCTGGGAAGTGGACACTGGGGACATCCATAAGTATCTCCCTCTGTCCCTGCCTGGAGTACGGGTTCTCACCGATAACAAAGACAGGCATGAAGGCTCCGCAGGGCACTGGGATGGTGGTGGCCAGGGCTGACATCCAGAACTGTGTGGGGATGCAGACACACATCTCATTAGTTTCTGTTCCCCATCCCAGCCCTGCCTCTTGTCCCTGCCATGACCCACAGCTAGCTGGTGTTGTGCAACACATGGGCACTGCACTGTGCCATGGGACAGCCCCACTCCTCCCTGTGGGCACCTTGCCAGAACCTCCCTAGCGGCACCTTGGTGCCTCCCATCGAAGATTTCTGATGGCATGTCAGAGCACCCAACCAACACCTGCATGGCCTCTGGGAGCAGCCACCTAGTGCCACCTTGCTGGCAACCATCTGGCACCTCCCTGGTGGCATCAAGAAGGCCCTCTCCAGAGCCTCCTGGTGGCACCTGAGGGCTGGCAGGGGCAGGAGGCACTCACCTTCATGAGGATGAAGACAACAAGGGTGACAAAGACGTTGGAGCGGGGATGGTGCCAGGCCTCCAGGATGCCCAAGTATTCGAACTCGTTGCTGAGCCCTTGTTTGGCCCATGTTTGGTTATCGAAGAGTGTCACCAGGGTGTCCTTCTGGGTGAGCTGGTGATGGGCAGGCATCAGCTGGGGCTGGCAGAGGCCCTGGGGTGGGTACCGGTGTGTCACCCCATGGCAGGTACCTGGCCGGCCATGAACTGTCCGAAGCCGGGTGGGAATGTCAGCGTGGAGATGAGAAGCGTCACCAGGGCAGGGAAGAGCAGGCGCCTGGCAGGGTGGCATGGGGCGGGAGTGACCTTGGTGCAGCCCTAGCTGCACCACCCCAGTGCCAGGGACCGACAGGCACCTACTTCTTCATGAGGAAGCGGTTGATGGTCTTCTGCCGGCGCATGAACTGCACGATCTTGCGGTTGAGGTAGACAAAGAGCGCACCCCCAAAGCCGCTGGCGATCCTGGTCAGAGGACATGTGAGTGCTTACCCAGTGCCACCACGGCCACTGACATCACCATCGCCACCTGCCACCAATGCCTCTTCTGCCCCAGGGCCATGGCACGGGTGCCAAGGTGGCCGCACTCACCCAATGACGGCGAAGGCAGGCAGCTCCTGCAGGTCGAAGGGGAAGTCAAGGCGGAAGCGGGTTTTGAACAGCGCCGTGATCGTCTCTGGGGGATGGCAGGGGTCAGGGGGATGGCGGGGCGACCCCCGAGCCCCCCACCCTACCAGGGATACCTTCATCCTTGTTCCAGACAGCAAGAACACGGAAGATGAAGGCACTGAAGGTGGCGGCAAAGAAGCCACGCCAGTAGTTGCGGACGGCAAAAAAGGTGGAAGTGACCTCGATGCTGAAGAGGACGCCTGGCACCGGGGGGAAGCGCACAAGGGAGACGGCGAAACCCAGGTGGGCCCCCGGTGCCTGGCATGCTTCCTGCCCCGAGCCCATGCTTGTGCTGGGTCCGCAGGGGTCTGGCCAGCCCCACAGACACACTATGGGATGGTTCAAGGGCTTCCCTGGCAAAGCACATGGCCAGTCTGTAGCTGGCTGCAGTGGGCATAGCGAAGCAGAGGCTTGCAAGAGCGAGAGGGTAGCGCAGAGACATGAGCAGCGACATGGCGGGTGGCACTGGGGTGGGATGGGGCGCACGCAGGCAGACAGACAGACATCAGGCAAAGGGCAAGGAAAGAGTTAGACACATCACCAACCTACGGGCAGGGCTCAGCGGGGCTGGAGCAGGGAGCTCCCTGGAGCGCAGCGCAGCAGGGAAGAGGACGAGAGCAGACGTTACACCTCCAGGAGGATGGCGCCCGTTCCCCCCTTCCTCCTCCCCGCTAAGCGGCACTGCCCTCTCCCACGCCAGCTGTCCTGGGGGCCCTTGCCTGCCTTACTGGGCAGACCCCGGTGCCCGGGTGGGAGGTGTGGGGTATGCCAGGGGCCCAGGGTGACCCTACCTCCGATGGGGGCAGCAAAGCAGCATCCGACCCCAACGGCACAGGCGGCTGCCAGCATTTCGATGTTCCTCGCCTCGTTCTGTGGGAGAGCCAAGGGTGAGTGGCACTGCCCCTGTCCCAGGTGCTGCCAAACCTGCTGGGGGCACTGGCGGAGCCCCCTGGGGCCAGCCTGTGCTGCTCACCTTGTAGATACCCCCAAAGAGGGAGAGGAAGCGGCTGAGCAGGGCTGCACACATGCTGGCGATGTGGACAAAGGGACCCTGCAAGGACAGCGGCGGGGCTGAGGATGGTGTCCCCCCCATTCCCCTGCCTGCCTTGACCGGGGCACTGCCCTCACCTCCTTGCCCAGGGGCATGCCGCTGCCCAGGGCGCACGTCAGCCCGATCACCTTGGCCACAAAGGTCTTGAAGGTGAGGTACTCCTTTAGCACGACGCCCCGCAGGATGGTCTTCATCTCAGGGATCCCTGAGCCTAGCACCATGGAGACAAGCTTCATCCATGGCCATAGAGAGGGGACACTGGGCAGCCCCAGATTTGTAGTTCTTGGGGGGGATCCTTAACATTCTGCCACACCTGAGTGCCATATGGAGACCCCAGAGAAACCTCTCCCCACAGCCCCATGGCCATATAGGGACAGCTCAACCTATAGCTCTCTGGGGACCCCAATCCCATAGTCCCCAAGAGACCTTCTGAAGGCCAGCTCTTAGCCCTAGGAAGACCCTATAGCTCAGGATATCCACACCTTAACTCACAGGAGACCCTCTGAAGACCAGCCTATAGCCCTTGGAAGACAACCAGCCCCAGGAATTGATGAAATCTCTGTCCCTGGAAGTGTTCAAGAACCAAGTAGATACGGCCCTTAAGTGACAGGGTTTAGTGGTGGCCTTGGCAGTACTGAGGTAAAGGCTGGACTTGGTGAACTTAAAGGTCTTTTCCAACCTAGCTGATTCTATGATTCTACAACATCCAACCCACAGGCCCCAGAAAATCCTCTGAAGACTAGCCCATAGCCCTGGGAAACTCCCCAGGACCCCCAGCCTTATAGCCCAGGAAGTCATCCACCCCATAGTTCACAGGAGACTCTCTGAAGTACAGCTCATAGTCCTTGGAAGACTTCCAGGACCCCCAACCCCACAGACCAAAAGGAAACCCAGACAGCTCCCAACCCATAGCCCCAGGGAAAGGACACCCCTTTGGGGTGCAGGCACCCCTCCAGTGCCCTACCCACAGCCTGAGGAGCGAGGATCTGGGTGAAGCCGGCTGAGAAGGTGATGAGCACAGTGGGGTAGGTGACCCAAGCCAGGTACTGCAGCAGCACGTTGGTGTCCAGGCCCCCATACATCCACTTCTGGGCTGCGGGCACATCCAGCCAGCCAGGTCACAGGTAGCAAGGGCATGGCATGGCACAGCACTGTGACACAGCCATCCCATGCCCCACTATGGCCCCGGGAGCCCACCAGTGCCCACTCACCTTGGAGGCAGGTGGCAATGGCAAAGTCCATGGCCCAGCTCACCAGTGCCATAACCAGCCCCAGGAGGATGAGGAAGACCCAGTCCTCGCCCACCTTGGAGAAGAGGAACCGCCGGCACTGCAAGGCGCAGACTGCAGGTACAAGGGTAGGCTCAGGGCCAGGCACCCCAGCGGTGGGCACACCGGGGTGGCAGGGCCAGGCTGGCAGGGACACAAGTGCTCACAGCCAATCCAACACCACTGGCACTATCCGGTGCAGGAGCACCGCGGTGCCGTGCCACAGCCACTGGCAGACAGGAACGGTGGGATCAGCGCGCTCTGGCCGTGCACAGCAGCACACGGCGCGCACCTCCCACCAGCACGGCCCTCCTGGCACGGCCCCAGGCAGAGGGGCTGGGGCCCCCCGGTCCCTGCGGCATGCCCGGCTATTTTGGGCCATTGTGTCCCCGGTGCTCGGCGGGCAGGTGGCATTGTCCTCGGCGCCAGTGTCCCATGACAGCCAGAGAAACCCTGCCTCCCACCGCTGTGGCAGGGTGGGCAGCCATGCCCTGACCACTTGCTGCCTTGGGGCTGTGCCCACTGCTGTCCCCCACCCCCGTGCCCCTGTCACCCGTGGCCCTTACCTCGGCAGGGCGCACAGCGGCCCTGGGTGTACTCCAGCAGCTCGGAGGGGCGGCGGGGCCGGGGGGTGTCCCCCTCCCCGTGCAGCCGCAGCCGGGCTGCCTCATCCTTGGCGAAGGTACCCAAGTCCTGCGTGTAGCGCCCATACATCTGTGGGGAAAGGAATGGGCAGGGGGGTGGCAACCCGGCTCGCGCACACAAGGGGGGAAACCGAGACAGGGGAGTATGGGCACGCTGCCATGGCCATCCAGCGCCGGGGAATGCCAGGCGACGGGACAGGCAGCCACGGCACCCCAGGGGAAGGGGCGGCGGTGCCTCTGCGGTTCCTGGGCTGCCCACAAGGGTGTGGAAGTGGGCTGGGCAGATAAGGTGTGCGGGGATCGATGGCGATCTTTTTGCCCACACACCCAGAGCAGGCAGGCGGCACCGCTAGTACCAGTCCCAGCCCTGCCCAGGTGCCCCGGGCACCAGCTGAGCTGGCAAAGGGTGGGGAAGGGCCTCCGGTGATGGGAGCAGGGCCAGCCTGGCCGGAAAACTCTCTGAGGGCTGGTATTGGGGTTGTGCTGGCACTCTGCAGGCGCCTCCCCTCGCCATCACTAAAAGCAGGGCCAGGATGCCCCCCCGGGAGGCAGTCTCAGCTTTCTACACGTGACGTGAGCGGGCCGGTCTCAGCCGGCAGCAGGGAGGCAGGAGGACAGCGGGGGGGGCAGAGCATACCCCCAGTCCCGGTGGGGGAGGTCACAGCATCAGGCACGGGGCAGTCCCTGGGCTATGAGGAGGGGTCTGGGGAGCAAGGAGGTTCGAGGGGGTCCCCCTCCTCCTGAGTACCTCCTGCCTGCTCATGGCACGTGGCCTGGCCCAGGCAGGGGGTGGTTCTGGCAGTGCCCCCCTTGCTGGCCAGGATCTCTTTGTGCCTGTCCTCCCTGCCGAGCCGGGGACATTTGTCCCATGCTGACGGGCACTGCCAAGGACTCGGTTGCTTGGTTTCCGCCTCGCTCCCCCCAGCACGACCTGAATGCCAAGAGCCAGAGGTTGGCCCGGCACAAAGGGAGGCTTCAGGGCTGTGGGGGCCCTGCCAGGCTCCCACATCGGGGCGACGTGAGCCCCATGCCGATGGCATGCCCACCTACCATGCCATGCCAGTGCAGCGCGTGGCCGCCCAGCCAGGACACTGCCCGTGCCAGTGCCGGTGCCCGGCGGAGGGGCATCACCAGGGGTGGGCACCGCACTGGGCACATGGGCAGCCCAGCCCCGGCTGCCTGGGTCCCGTTCACACCCCCCGGCCTGCTGTCACGTTTCAGCTCCCTGTGGGGATGGCGTGAAGGTGCATTTCTCACAGAGCACCTCTTCTGCCCAGGTCCCTTTGGCAGGGAGCAGAAAGCAGCCAGAGTGGCGCCAGCTGGATTCTCTGCTGTCTAATACCTGGGTTGTGCTCAGCAGTGGGAGGGAGGTGGGGAGGCAGGTGGTGGAGGGGATGCACATGCATTTTCATTGCTTATCCCCCTCCTAGCATGGATTTCCCCCCAAACTCGAACTCAGCAGTTTCTCGCCCTATGAGAATGTGCTGGGGGGAAGACACAAGCAAGGCAGAGATGCTGACATGGCCACCTTGGGGGCCCAGATCCGGCACTGGCTGCCAGAGAAGGACCCCAGCCCTGCACGGGGTCCAGTGTTCAAAGGCTCCCTTCGGGCAAAGCTTGTTTCCTCTGGAAGACAAAATGGGTCAGCTCCCTGAAGAGTGCTGTCCCCCTGCCAAGCACCCGCCTCCCCTGACCCCCCTGCTGCCCCATGGCTGGCCTTGGCCGGGACTGGGGTACTCCCAAGCTGAGTGTCCCCAAACCAGCTCCATTTCCACCTCCTGGACTGTGCTGGGGGCTGCCACACTGCCCTCCAGGCACTGGGGTACCCCGCAGGATGTCGAGGCCCAGGGGATCCAGCCTGGCTGAGGAGGAAGGATTTTGCTTCCCCTCTTCCCCTGTTTGCAGCCAACCCCACCTGCAACAACAGGGATGTAGCTGAAGGGGCTGTGGCACCCCGCTGCCGCACTGTGCCAATCTGTGCCACCCCTCTGACCCTTGCCATGGCCCCACAGGCAGGACATGGGACCCCAGGGCCCTCAGCCCTGTCAAGGGGGCTGTGGTGAGGGCCAGTGGTGGGCTCTCCCCTTCCTCCTCCTTCTCCTCCTCCTCCTCTTCCCGCTCGGGTTATTTTTCCACAAAGGCCTTTTGAAACACAAACAGCCCCGGGACTCCAGCCTCCGCCGCGAAGCAGCTGAACAATCACAGTGCCGGGCAGGCAGGGAACGGGCACGGGGAGGGGGGTCTGGCGGGGGGCACCCGGGGACACGGGCACAGGCCAAGGATGCTATGTGGGTCTCGGGCTCTTGCACCGTGGGCACCGGCCGTGCTGCAGCCCCCAGGCAGTGCCAGCCTGCGGTGCCTGCTGTGCCCAGGCGATGCTGCGCCTGGGGCGGGTGCTGGCATCTGGCACTGCCATGTCCCCGTGCCACCCTGTCCCATAGCACCCAGCCTGCCTGGCAGCAGTGCCCACCTCTGCGATGCCAGCCAACCTTCCCCCCAAAGCCTGATCCTGAGGGTGATATTTTAAGGCAGGAGGGTGGGGGGGGGGTCTCCTGGGCTGGCAGCGGGCAGGCGGAGGCTGGGGGCTGTGTGTCACGCTGCCCGTCTTAACTAGGTTCTAATCACCCTGAGTGGCTCCACTGTGAACAAGGGAAGTTTGTCAAGCTTAATCCCTCCCTTCCCAGGGGCCCTTTGCTCCCCACCATGCAGCCTGGCATGTGGGGGCACTGGGGATGGTGTGCACCCTGGCACCCCGTGGGCTCAGCCAGAGGTTCCCATGGGTGCTTGCCCAAAGTGGGGTCTCCAGGGAGTGATGCTGCATCCTGGGGAGACCTTTAAGGCTGGGGCTGTGCCAGCCCCAGTGGCACCATGGCCACGGCACACATGGATGGTGAAATCTGGTGGAGTAAGGACGTGTGGTGGGGATGGGGCTCTTCAGGCATGGCTGGGCAGTCCTGCAACGTGGCTGTGATGCCCTGGCTTTGGGCATGGACAGCAAGAGCTGTCCCTAGGGCTGTCTGGCTCAGACTAGCCTGTGCCAGGCTCCAGCTGGATCTCGACCTTCCTGGCAGGTGCCAGCAAGAGCTGGTGGTAGTTCAGATGCACTGGGGAGCACTGGGCACCCCTTCTACCCAGCATGTGCCCAAGCAGCTCCCAAAAGCCAGGCCTGAGGCTATGGGACAGGAGCTGGCAACCAGCCTCACCCATGAGCCCCAGATGGTTTCATGAGCCTCACCACTGCCCAGAGGCCATGGGGATGGGCACCCTAGGGCACCCAGGGCATGGGTGCTACCGCACCCAGAGGAAGGGAGGGCAAAGTCTGCTGGCACCATGCAAGGCTACCCCAATGCTAGTTTGATGTGCCTCTCCCTCCCACACTGGCCACAGACCTCTGTGCCCTGCAGTGCTCAGCTGGGCTGTCCTTTCTGCCCGCCAACCCTGGACACAGCACTGACGCACACAGTTGGGTGGCAGGCGGAGGTGGCAGAGGCACCCACACAGCTCACATCCAACAGTGCCACGTACCCCTGCTTGTGCCCCCAGCTGCTCCCTGGCTCAGCCCTGCCAGGGAGGCACCGCAGGGCTGATAAGATCATGGAGATGCCAGCACAGGCAGGGCTCCCATGGCCAGCCAGTCCCCCACAGCTACCTGAGAGCAACAGGAAAGGGGCAATGAGGGGCACCCCCAGTCAGGGGCTTTGGGTGCTTGCAAAGACACGTGCCTATGTGCCGGGTGGGCAAGCCTCATCAGAGCCAGCCCTGCTTGCAGCAATCGGGCCAGAGTCTCAGCAAACTCGGGCACCTGGGGGCGGGGGCACAGGTACCCTGCAGCAGCTCAGCCCCTGCTTCCCTGCCCACCTCCCCAGCCCTGCCTGCCTGAATGCCTTTGCCAGGGCAAAGTACCCATTCGCTGATTCGCCCTGGGCACCGTCCCAAGTGGACGCCAAGGAGAAGCACCTTTGCCCAAGATGTCCAAGGGCTGTGAGCATGATGTGGAGGGAGGACACCCCTGGGTCATCAGGGCACCCGGGTGCCAGCAGGGCGGCCTCGGAGGGGAAGGAATGGTAAACATGGGGCTAAGATTGCAGGTGGGGGAGATACGGGGAGAGATATGCTATCTTGGGGGCAGAGAGCTGGGAACACAGAGGACAGAGGGTGAAGGGTGCCCAGGCGGTGCCTCTGGGAGCCCACAGTGTAGGCATCACCTCTCCAGCGATGAAGGATTTTGGGGAGGGGTTGGAGTGTGTGCCAAAGTCCTGCCCTGGGGCTGTGGGCTCAGTTGGGCTCCTCCACCGCCGGGGGGGGGGAGGCTGCGGGGTGGCACCTGCCCAGCCACAGCCTGGACACGGCATTCCAAACCGAGCACAGCGGAGCTCATCAGCACCGCAACCGCGAGCGGAGCTGCACCCCCGCCCCAGCTCCAGCACCCGCCCCCCGGTGTGCCACCGCCCGGTGTCCCCCGGTGCCCGGTGCCGGCCGCACTCACCAGGGTCTGCTCATACTGCAGCGCCCGCTGCGCCTCGCTCTCGGTGGCCATGGTGCCGCCGCTGCCGCCGCTCCTGGCCGTGCCGGTGCCGCGGCGGCGGCGGCTCCTCCCGGGCAGCGCGGGGCGGGCCCGGGGCACTGCCCGGGGGAGGGACCGGCCGCGCTCCTCCTCCGCCGGCAGCACCGGCACCCAGCGCCGAGCACACAGCGCCGGGCAGCGTGCCTCTGCCCGTTCCACCCGTGCCTTTGCCTACGGGCTTCCCAGCGGAGGATGGCACCCGCGGGCAGCCGATGGGTGGCTAAAAGCTGTCATGGGGTGACCGCCGGTACATGGGACACATTGCTCCCTCTTCCCACGGGCACAAGGGCCTGGCGTGGGGCTAACACTGGTCCCTGCTTCCCCGTCGTTTATCCCCGGTGGGATGTGGACATCAGGGCAGGGAGGACAGCGCTGGGGGCACCACGGGCAGGCAGCCCCCAGGCTCATGGCCGTGCCTGGCTTGGGATCAGATTGGGGTGGCAGAGTGCCTGGAGGTCTTGGCACTGAGGGCACAGGGGGTCCGTAGATGCCCATTCGTGACAGGGCACTTTGACACACCAGAGTTATCCCCAAAGCTGGCAGAGGGCTCATCCTTACCGTGGTGCTGCTCAATGTTCCGTGACTGCCAGCCCCATGAAAGGCAGATGGACTCCACTCTTCGCTGCTGAAATCGCAGGGCAGCAACAGCTCAGCCCGCTCTGGAGGGTCACACGGGCAGAGTTTGACACTGGCAGTCCTTGGGCAAGGTGCTTCGGCATGGCCGGATGGGTGCCGGGACCTCTGTCTCCCTGCACCGCGGGCTCAGTGGCAGCTGGCAGAGCCGAGCTCACCCTCTGCCATGCCCTGGGGCACGGCACCTTCGTGGCAAGAACTGAATGCAGGGAAAGACGGAGCTGTGGCACTGCTGGACTGGTGCTGTAGGACCAGGAACAGACTAGTTCTTGGCGCCTGGGTGCCACCCTCCGGTTTGACGTTGGCACCCCTAAGAATGGGTACTGATAGCCAGGCTGGGGGTTGGGATATGTCCTGCGCCAGCCTGGGAGGGTTCATTGCCGGACATGAGCCAGTTTGTGGCAGGGAGGTGATAAAATGGGCTGCCCGCTTATTGTGTCCTTGGGCACAGAGATCCCTCCTTGCCTGTCAGCTCCAGGCTGAGCCAGGATGCTCACCCAGAGGGGCAGCCCTGTGCCAGGACACGTGCTTTGTCCGCTGCTGGCGGTATGTCCTGATGTGGGCCACCAGCATGCTGCAAGGCCACCGTGGGTGCTGCGACCCTGCTGGCACAGACACCCAGGTAGCTGTGGGCATGCCCAGGGCAGAACACCCGGATCAGCACCCAGGACTCTGTGCCAGTCTAGTGTGCCCCAGTGTCATCCTTCTGTTGCCATACCATTAGCCCAGTGTTGCCTCTGGTGCAGACCCAGTACAATCTAACACTGTCCCACAATGGTGCTGGTATTATGCCAGTATGCCTCAATACAGTCCAGCAGAGACCAGTGTTACTTTCCCTACAGCTCTGGCACTGTTCCGGTATAGCCCAGTATAGCTCTGGTGCTGTCCCAGTTTCCAAGTCTGTCCAAGTTTTCCTGTACTGCACAGTGATGTCCCCAAAGGTGCCCCAGTCCCCTGCACTGGGGACAGAAGGGCAAGTGGCAGCACTGCAACTTCCACCGGCCCCATGAGCCACGTGAGGTCTTAGTCCAGTGTGGCTGTACTGGGGTGACTGGGGAGCGCTGCCCCAGCATGTGTGCTGGCATAGGTACGGGTGGCTGTGCGGCACACCCAGCCCTGGGCACTCTGTTTGCTGTGGGCAGGCGCCCCCGTAGGTGGCAGCTGACTCAGGGCCTCATGCTGGGCTCTTCATGCCAGCACGGAGGTGTGAGGTACAGAGCCCAGCTGTCCCTGAGCCAGCACACACCGGCACCCGGCCCTGCATCCACAGCCTCCACCGTGGGCACTGGATCCTGCTCTGATCCTCTCCAGCGCCACCTTACAAGCACCACCCCTGGTGGCTCCAGTCTTGCACTGGCTCCCAGACCCATGTTCCCCAGTTTCCCCTCCCAAATTATGCATCCCCAAACTCAGCAAGGCCTGCAAATCCCACTGGAGCCCAGCGTGGGATGCAGCCCTGCTGCTGCTGCTATAGAAAGAGGCAGGGAGCCAGGTGGGCAGTATCTCTGCTTTTAATAAATACATCAGGACCCCCGTCCATGGGCACCATAAATTACGTGATGAGCCCGGCCAAGCCGGGGGGGGGGGGGCAGAGGGAGACGGGGTCTGGAGGGATTTTACACTATGTACAAGGCAGGCACCATGCCCACTGCGCCCACTGGCTGAGGGGGCTTGAAACGGGAGGGCAGTGGGTGCCTCCACCAGCCCAGCCACTGCCCAGGGGCATGAGAAGGCAGGACAGCCCTGGCACCGTGGCCAGGCCAGGAAGGGGTGCCCAGGCTGGGTGCCTGGCTGTGTCCACCCTGCTGTGCTCCTCTGTGGCCCCTGCCCTGCATGGGGGCGATGGGCAGCCAGGACCCCCCCACAGCCACCCAGCCTCACTGTATGCTCGCCCCACTCTGGGCAGCAGTCACTGCTCAGCGGCTCCATGCCTCTGCCCTGGCATCATGAACCTTCTCCCGTGCATCCACAGGGGCATCTGGGGCTGCAGGGGAGGGGAAAGTGGGGCTGAGAGATGGGCATGGCAGGTGCCAGGAGGGCATTTGGGTTGGTCACAGCCCTGGCTCAGCACCAAGGGAGCTGGGAAGGTGCAGAGGCCACCACAGGGTGTCTGGGGGAGCAGTGGCACTCACCGTGGCACTTGGCACAGCAGGGGTTGTCCCTTCTGGCAGGGCTGGTGCAGGCAGCTGGCGGGCACTCCTGGCGCTGGCAGTGTGTCTCTCCTGACTGTGGGGCAGAAAGAGGGTCTGAGCACGGGGATTCGGTGGCTGGCGGCTTCTCAGGATGTAGCTACCCTGGACTGGTCTCCCCTCCCCAAAGTACTGTGGACTGGCACAGGGGCTCCTTCCCCTCCTGCCACTCACCACACACCAGCACAGGATACACTTCATTTCTCCAAAGGGGGGCACGGAGGGATGCCAGCTCTCATTGTTGAGGTACCAGCGGCGCCCGAAGCGGCATGCCCGTGGCCCATCTGCCTGCATGGTGTCAGCAAGCTCAGGGACACTCTTCTCTGGGGCTGCAGGGAAGAGCACAGGGAAGCTGCCAGGCCTCGTGGCGCTGCCAGGCCTCGTGGCACTGCCAGTGGTGGCATGCAGGGGCTGTGCTGGGAGACCATAGAGCAGGAGTGGGTGCAGGTACCTGGGCACTGCTTGCAGCAGTCGGAGGGGCTGACACGCACAGGGTTGGCACAGGTGAGCCGCGGGCACTGCACCTTCTCGCAGTGTACTTCACCCGTGGTGCCCTGCAGGGAGTACACTGAGGCAGTCAACACAAGACCATCTCCCTGGTTTGAGACCCTGCTGCAATGACCAGTAGCTGTGGGCACCCATGGGTCCTGGAGCAGCTCTGCCACCAGACCAGGCTGTGAGGCAAGGGGGGAGCTGGGACTAGCACTTGCCTTGCAGGTGCAGATGGCACATTTGATGAGGCCAAAGGGGGGCACAACAGGGTGCCAGCGGGTGCCAGAGCCTCGCCAAGTCTTGTCCCCATCGAAGTAGCAGCCTGGGAGAGGAAGAGAAGAAATATGAAGAAGAGGTGGGCACAGCCCTCTTGGAGATGCCAGGGAGGGCAGAAGGGGAGAGCAGCCCCCTCAGCCCATGCCTGCTAGAACTCACCCTCACTACTGTCCCGTGCCCGCTCCAGCTTCAGCTCCTCCTGCCCAGTCTTCTTCTCTGCAAGGAAAGATTGAGGAAGGCCATGAGGTGCACACAGTGACAGCAGCAGAGGCTCAGAGAGGGACTCCCCACCTTGCTCCCACAGGGAAGCCCCTGCTCCCCCAGCCCCCTGGCCTGGGACCCGCTATGCCCCAGGTACCTTCGCAGATGGGGCAGCACAGATCCTCGGGGTGCAGCTGGCGGGTACAGTTGAGGGGCTGGCACAGGATGGGGTCGCAAATCACCGTGCGCTTCTGGGGGCAGCAGGTCAGTGCTTGTCACAGGGGACACTACTGACAGTGATGCGTCTTCCCCCCCAGCATGCACCCCTAGCCCGTACCTGGCAGCTGCAGATGGAGCACTTCTTGTCATAGTCAGGTGCCCATTGAGTGCCGTGTGCCCGGTGCTGCCCCTCAAAGAAGCAGGAGTTGGGGTCCTTCTTCAACTGCTCCAGATCCCTGGTCTTGGTGTCCTCGGGGAGCTCGGCCTCCCCCAGGGCTTCCCCAGGGGCCAGGCGCGTCCCTCCTTCATGGCACTGGTTGGGGATGTGCACCTGGAGAGAGGCAACAGGGTTGGCACTGCCTGGGGATCCTCTTTCCATACCAATGCCCAGATGTCCTCCATGGACAGGGCTGGTGGAAGAAGCACCCATGACCACAGTACACATCACACTGGGCTGCTGGGACCATTCCACAGCATGGCCTCCTTCCTGTGCCCTTCCCACACCGCTCCAGGCAGTACCATCCATCTGGGGACCGCAGGCAGTGGTGGGGATGGGGACAGATATGTGTGATGTGGACCTGTGTAGATAAGGACCTACCCGTCCTCGCATTTCTCCGTTAGGGTGGGCTTTGGTGCTGACTTGCAGGAAAGCAGTGCCCTGTGCCAGGTGCTGCAGCAGGTCAGCATCCAGGTCCTTCACCACCCCCTGAGCCTGCCAGGGTGAGAGGGGCACCAGAGGGAAGCACGTGAGGGCTGGCCTGGCCCCCACCATGGAGCTCCCCAGCCAGGTGCCCGCCTCACCTCGGTGCTGTAGAAACCCTTGAGCAGGCGCTTGTGCTGGTGGGGCCGGGTGCCCATCTCACCCAGCTCAGCCACACCATGGAGATGAGCACTGATGGTGCCATCGGCTGGGCGGCCCATCCCCGCCACCGAGATCTCGTAGTGCAGGTGGCAGTGCTCATCCAGCGAGAGCCAGGCATGCCCCGCTGCACCACTGCCCACCGGGGGGGACACCAGCTGTCCAGCCAGCACCACGGGCATCTCTGCACACAGACAGGGGCCATGGGAGGCAGCAGGGGGTGGGGGCTGCCCCACTGCCCCCTGTTACCACTCTCAATGCTCCCCAGTACCTGTGTAGCGGATGAGCAGCCCGCTGTAGGGCAAGGAGATGACTTGGCCCCGCAGCTCACCCTCCGCCCAGTCCTTGGTGGCCACGTTGAGGAAGAGCTCATTCTGCAGCAGCATGTGGGCATCGCGGGCACTGGGGTTCTGCCAGGCGCCCCAGGCCTGGCACCACAGGAAACCACACAGGTTTGGATGGGGACTCATCCAAAGTTCCCGTGTTAACCCCTCCAGTGCCACTCAATGCTCACCAGCCCGTCCTTGTAGCTGGGTGTCATGTCAAACAGGATGTTCCTCTTGCTCTTCCGCCGGGGTTTGGTCTCCAGCGTGATGCCCACCACCTCACTGGCAGTGCCCACCACCTGCACCTGTGGGCAGGATGCTGAGGAGCAGTGCCAGAGATGCCTCCTGGGATCCCCCCGGAAGGACGCAAGTGCCCCAACCTACCTGGTACTCCAGGGTGCCATTTTCGTGCAGTGCCAGCTTGGCCGAGCCTGCAGCCCCTGTCTTGGTTGGCAGCAAGGCGTCTGCTCCACACAGCACACTTTGTATGGCTTCAACCCAGGGAGAGAGGCACAGGGCAGGGGAGAAGGTTGGCATGGGGGCCATAGGCAATCCTCCTGTGCCCTAGGGTGCCTGCCCCATGCTCACTGTCACAGCTGCGGCGTGTGGTGATGGTGCCTGCCAGCTGGCGTGCATGCTGGCCCTCTGTCTCAGCCACGATGCGGAGTTGCCCCTGCACCAACCACTGCAGCTCACGGGCAGAGAGCTCGCTCAGTACCTCCGCAAAGTCAGGGTCCTGCCAGGGGCAGTCACAGTGCCACGGCTCAGCCCTGGCACGGAGGGCACTGTGGCTGCCAGGGCAATATGGGGGAACAGAGGGCTTTACCTCCATGGTAATGTTGGCATGGACCTCCCGCAATGTCTGGCCCTGGTGCAGGATCCGCACCCGCAGCGGAACCGAGGGGGATTCTGGCCATGGTGGAGGGGGTTAGACCCACTGGATGGGGCCTGTGACCTCTGTCCCTCTGCCCCCCAAACCCACCCTCTGTGTCCACCACCACCAAACCCCAGCACCCAA